TATATATATATATACTTTTTTTTCTTCTGTGTAAGCAGTGTTTCTGTTCGGAAGTTAGCCTTAGAAAAGGTAGAAGAGTTTGGTTGTGTTTCTTAGTCTAATTCAGTGCAGTACTGGTATTTTAGAGTTGTGATTCTGCTCTCCGTCAGCAGGCAGAAATGTGATATCTCCTTGAGAGTGGCACACTTGCATGTTAGGCTTCATATGAATTTGCTGCACACAGTATTATTGTTTTTCAGATAGATGTCTAGTTATGCTTAGTCTTTGTCCAAGCATAAGCTTTATATTGATAAGAGGTAAAATTAAGGCTGTCCTGGAAGCATGGATAAGGACTTCATTTCCTCAGTCTCTATTTGAGCCTCCTGTCCCTCCCATCTTTTCTTCCCCCTTGCCTTCTCGCATCCCACCCATCTCCCAGTCTTGATGGTCAACGAGGAAATTAATGGGATAAAGTTAAAGCTAATGCTCCTACAGAGATTTGTGCTCTCCTGTCTTCCACCCAATAAAACCACACATATACTTTTGTACATCAGTGTTAAGCGTGGCCTGAGAAATTTCTGACTGTATAGTACCAACTGAAACTGGGTTTGGGAGTAAATCAGCCACCAACAGAAGACTTAATTGTACAGGTTGAACGTTGCAGTTCAATTACGTACTGAACTGATTTTTAGGTGGGACAATTCTCTAAGCATAAATAAAATCATTAATTTTGGGTGTGTATCAGATGTTAAGCATGTTTTGATTTGTTCCAGTAGCCGGATCGAGCTGGGAGATGTGACGCCACACAACATAAAGCAGCTGAAGAGGCTGAACCAGGTCATTTTTCCTGTCAGCTACAATGACAAGTTCTACAAGGATGTACTGGAGGTTGGCGAACTAGCCAAATTAGGTACAAATGTTCTTGCCAGTAATTGTGGGCTATGGTGACAGAAGTGCTCATCATCGCTATCCATAATGGTTTTGAATAGCAGATCCTTCTATTTTGTTGTTTTACATAATGAAAAAGAACTGTTTGGGAACCACAAAAAATCTCCGGTCTGAACATCACAGCATTCGTGTTCTAAATAGATTCCACTTTACTGGGAATAGGCAGGTTTTCTGTTATTGCAGAAAACCTGCAATGTGTGCTGCCAGCTTACCTCCTGATATCACTGCTAGCTGGTTTGTCAGAGCACCATTGGTAATGTCAGTCTTAGAGTTAAGCCACAAAATACGGTATTTCATTTGGATGGGAGAATTAGCAAGAGGGAAGGAAGGAAGATACAGGGTGTAAATGAAGGAGGTGTATGTATAGTTTGAGACTTGTGACTGATAACATTTTGTTTCTTTCCCTGCAGCCTATTTCAATGACATTGCAGTGGGAGCAGTGTGCTGTAGGGTGGATCATTCGCAGAACCAGAAGAGACTGTACATAATGACACTCGGATGCCTGGCACCCTACCGAAGGCTAGGAATAGGTAAGGAGGATCTTCTTTTGTATCTGAGTCTTCAGAGAAACCCATTTGCTGTGCAGCCTTCTAAATGCTTTTCCAGGTTTTTGACCAAGATCGTGCACTTTTAGACCACCGATTTGTTTGGAAGGGACTTTGGGGAAAGAATGTAATTTGTGATGTGCTCTTTTTCCCCTGCCTTTCAGAAATGGGCTTTTTGTAGAACTTTCTAATTCAGGATTTCAGAGTATTTTTATCTTAATCACATTATCATACTATGAGGTAAATACTTTCCTCCTATAGATGTGAAAATTGATGCACAGACACATGAAATAACTTTTTAGAGGTTACACAGCCAGTATGCAAGTCATGTATAAGTAGAACACAACATTACTTCATTGGGTTTCTAAAGGGAAGGGGTGTTTCTGTTTATCTTCTTCAATACCAATTATCGCTGCTCAGGGGTAGTACCTGCTTTCTGTCTATACTGCATTTAGTTCTTTTCTCCATGTTGCAGATTTGGAGGCCAGATTAATCAAGACCTTACAGTAACTTGTTTGCTTTGACAAGCTGGAATGGAAAATTAACTTTATTTTAAATTATTTTACTAGGTATTTGTTAGAAAACTTACCAATGCTCCCCCTGCTTTATACATTGTTTTGATCCCATAGCTGAGGTCAGTTTAGGACCTTGAAGCTAGTGTTTAAATTAGCCGCTTTATACATGTGCTTCTGGGTTGCTGTTTTGTTGTTGGGTTGTTTTTTCTTTTCTCCAAAGAAAGAATTAATTAGATTTTGTGAGCAGTCAGAAAGATAATGGAGTACTTATAAACCATGTTTTATTTGCCTTGCCTAGTTCTCACAAGCTTGGTCATTTTAGCCTATCTACAGTTAACCTGCCTCTCCTCAAGAAAGCCCTTAGCTAAGTACATACTTTATTGTGCACTTCTGGTTTTCTTATGTGTCTCTTTACCTTTTGGCAGGAACTAAAATGTTGAATCATGTCTTAAACATCTGCGAAAAAGATGGCACTTTTGACAACATCTATCTGTAAGTAAATGAGTTCCACTCATGCATTTTTTTTGAGAGATGGTAAAGGCATATATAAGAGCAAAGGGAGAGAGATCCAAGAACATTTGTGTTGCAGTGGGGTCATGGAACATCTTGTAAGTGCTAGTAAGAAGGCGAGAGGTCACATTCTGGGCTTGTGTGATGCTGAGAAAACTAAAAGCTTGCTTGCTTTAGAAGGGCATCTGCAAATTTGCTGCATTCAGATGCAGTTTAGTTACAAATGACTTTCTATAGCAGAGTAATGAATATGACAAAAAAATTGTGGAAGAATTAATCCTACTGCACGTCTTGCATGCAGTTTTGGTGCATTTGCTATCTGTCTTTTATGACAGTACTGTGTTGGTTAGAACATCAGAGGTGCTTGCAAGTGCTCTAGGTTCACATTCAGTAGCAAGGCCCATCTGCTTATTCCCATTCTTGCACTCTGCCAGGTCAGCTGTTTATGCAGCAACACAGTAAACCAGGTCAGTGCCCTGACCCATCTGGGGAAGCTGTTTCCAATTTTGATTCTGGGTGGGGTTGGGTTTTTTTTTAGTGTGGTTTTTTTGTTTTGTTTTTTAAATCAATTGCACATCTGCATAAGCATTTGGTGTGATTTAGGCATGAGAACAAGGACTGGGGTGGAGGACAGGGCTCCTTAAAAGAGCACCGCCATCCTAATAGATGCCTATGGAAATACAGCCTGAAATCCACAGATGCCAAAGCTTTGTTTTTCCCTCTTTGCTGCTGGCTGCACAGTTCTCCTTCTTCCAATTCATTGGTGTCTGTGTGATTACCAAGTGCTTGCTTCTCTTGTCCATCACTGCCAGCTGATACCAGTACAAAAACATGGTGCACTGGTAGGGATAGACCCACAGCAGGTACAACTTGAACAGACCTATGCTGCCACAGAACTGCACCTTGAACACTTGCCTGGACTGTTAAAGATGCTTAGTGAGTTGTGTTTCATACACCAGTATCACTATAAATGGAGTGACTTTCTCCTCAAGTTTAGTCCACCTCTGCCAAGGAGATGCAGTTTTCCAAGTCCTCTACTGTTGTAGCTTTGAGCCATCTGTAAGAGTTGTCTTAAAGAGGAGTCTGAGTACAGCTGTTTTTTGGCTTGTGTTCCTGCTCTCCTGCCTCTGAAGACATGGTAATGAAGTCTCGGATGCCTACTAGTTGGCACAGGCTTTCGTTTCTGCTTTGGCATGTTTCTGTGTGCATAATGAAGAAACTGCTGATTTTAACACAAAACCCAGATCCTTTATAATCCTTTCCACTTCCCAGAGTAGAATTCTGGGGTGACAATAAAGAGCTCCCAAAGTTGGGCATAACAAAGTTCTTTTAATGGCCCATTGATTTTATTACTCTGTTGCTTGTGCATCTTCTATTTTAACATACTACATAGTTTGGCACCAGTTAGCTATCAGTGTGTAAATTTGTCATTATGAAATTCCTTCTTAGCTATTTAGTTTTTATTGGGCTTAACACCAAGATCTTGTTCTGCTGTTTGTTCCAGAGTTGCTTTGGTTCTATGGTTATGCAGCATGTTGTCATGACAAAGTGATTAATGAGCTTGTGCAGTGTCCATTGACTTTTGGGAGTGTTTAATGAATGCCTTTTGTTGAGCTGAACATCCCTTTTCTCTTACATTTTTTTAATAGAACTTGTGCAAATAAATGTCTTAGTTGCTAAGGATGAAGAAGCGGTGGCTGTTTGTTTTGGAGGCCTTGAAACTCTTAAAATATGCTAGCAAGATCTGTAAAACTCTGGGGGAGATAGGCAAAAGGGGAAAAGGACTTTTTAGGGCCATGGGGCTTTTTTTGTGCTTCCATAGCTTTTTGTGAGGGGAGAGGAGTACTTGGAAGTGAGCAAGGAGTTAAAATTATATCGAACGCCATTGCCAGTTTTGTGTTGCAGTGTGTAGGGATCAGCAGTCAGCCAACTATTTTGGTCACCTAAGAAGTGTCACTACAGGAAGTTAAAATTGGCTCTGCAGTGAAACTTTGCTATATGTTTCCACAAAATCTCTGTCACTTCCAGATTAAGAAAAATTGAAATTACTGAGTAATGCTTCAGAGCTTGTTATTTGTGTTCCTTAGAAGAGCTTTAATAAGGGAAAACATTTGCCACTTCTCAGAAAGATTACTACAGGCAGTCTAGGAGCTGTGTGTTAGCTCAGGATTAATTTGGGAAGACCAAAACTTCCAGTCCTGATTTTCCACCATCATTCCTGTCTTTATCTGGACAGCTCCTTTTCTTACCATGTGTTTGACTGTTCTGTGGAGGCAGAAGACTGAACCACAGAAGGTTCTGATCCCTCTCTCTCTCTCTCTTCCTTTTTTGTCCCAGGCATGTCCAGATCAGCAATGAGTCTGCGATTGACTTCTACAGAAAGTTTGGCTTTGAGATCATTGAGACAAAGAAAAACTACTACAAGAGGATAGAGCCTGCAGATGCCCACGTGCTGCAGAAAAACCTCAAAGCCCCTTATCTTGGCCAGAACGCAGATGTGCAAAAGACCGACAACTGAACAAACCCCCAACGAACACTTTCTTGCACTTGCTTGTCGCCAAATAAGGAAAGAGAGGCCTCTTGAGTTTGATTTTGGTTTTAACTCCACCCCTTCATTCTCTTTAATTTCTGTTTTCTTGACCTCTCTCCAACAAAATGTAATGTAATGCTTCTTCCAAGGATTGTCCAATCATGTTTGGGGTTGGGGTGTTTTTTTGAGCTCTCCTTTCTGATACGTTAGGGGTTGATTTTGTTGGGGTTTGTTTTGTTTTGGGTTTGGTTTTTTTTTTTTGAGGGGGGTGGTTTCAGGGGGGCTTGTTTATTGTATTTTGTTCTTTCTTGGGGTGGGAAAAGGTGTGCAGATCTAAGTTTGAGGTGTGGAGGGCTTGAGCAGGTTATCCTGGTGACAAGTTTCCTTCAGAATTATCTCTTTCAATAAGCAGAATGTAAATCCAACAGGGGGGAGGGGGAAGGAAAAGCAATATCTTGTCCTTTGACTCCTACATTATTGTATTTTTTATAACCTACAGGGTACTTTATTCCCCCCCAACCTTTGAATGTTACTTCAGTACTTCCCATTCTTCCTCTTAATTCCTCCCACCTCAAAAGTATGTTTTGTTCTTCCCAGTGTTTTTGAGTATGGCTTTTTCCTCCATCTTTTGCTGAGAAAGGTGGGCTGCTTCATCATACTTTTTCACTCTGCCTGGCCTGATCTTTTTGAATGCTTTTTTTTTAACTACTCCTCACCCAAGCTGGTGCTACACTTCTTAACTGACCGAGAGGAGAGTTTAGAGTGGTCTTTGGTTTTCATTTTCATTTACCCAACTCCGAGCAGGCTTCTGCCAGAGTGTAAGAGCTAGATCTGGTGTTGGCAAGAGTAACCTTGTAAAAATACAAATCCTGAGGCAAGACCCTTGCTGAAAAAATGGGTGAAATGTTGTAGGGCTCATTGAGAGTTAGTTTGATCGGTGTTGTTGGGATGGGAAAAGTGACTGTGACCACATTACCAGCTTTGATCACATAAGGCAAGCACCCATCGTCTCCACAGCAATTTTTTACACCTACTAAACGTGTGGTGACACATCTGAGATGAGGCAAGGGTTGAGGACACCGGGCAGCAAGGCTGAGAAGGCAAACATAAATCCAGCCCTCACCACAGCTTTGCAGGGGTTTCCTGGATTTTGTTGGGATTGGCTTGGCTTGCTGTGTTTATGTGCTCCTTTGGGAGGAGGTGGTGAGGAACTGCACAGTTTGCCCTGCTGAGAATGATTTTCCCCTTGCCCTGTTCAGTGGTAATAATGCCGTTCTCCTCTCTGAGAAGGTGTTCACGGAGCACTAGAGAAAGCAGTGTATATTAGAGCATTTTATGGGTTTGGAAAATAGGCTGACTGGCTTCTTCCTAGTACTGTAACCTCAAAGCTACAGTAAACTCTACTAAGCCTGCTTTGCATCCTTTCATGCTTTGTTTGCGTGAATATCAGTGCTCCTTTCTATGCACTGTTGCCAGCAATTCTATGTATGCCAATACAAATACCAACTTGAGCTTGGATTCTTCTCCAAGCACCTGGGAAAGTGCACTGAGCTGAGACAACACCAACCTGCCCCATCCCCCAAGTAGATATTGAACTGCATTCCTTTCCTGTTTGTTTTTTAAAGTCTAAATCTGCATCTTGAATGCATCTGCTTTGAAAGCCTCCAACCTCTATAGTGTGCATTGCAGCATACATCCGGTTAGTAGGTGCTGTCCAGTCATTCGAGGGTGACTTGGGAACTAAGGATTTCAAGACAGGGAGTTGTGGTGAGGCAAGGGATGGCACCCCTCATTGCACATTGTGGTCTTTGATATCCAGAGGGGTGACTTTACAAGCTGCTTCAGAATTACTTCTCCTTTCCCAGAGGTGTGCAGTGCTTGTTGGAGTGCATCTTGACAGACCTGTGCTGGGTTTGCACTGATTGAGTCTTGGGGATGGGCAGATTGCTAACAACAAAAGCCCCTCTGCATGGCCTGAGCATCTGTGTTTGCAGCACTCTGTGGCAGACTCTGGCTAGAAAGATGCAAGCAGTTTCCTCAGCCAGAGGCAGCCTAGTTTTGACAAAAGCTTATTTTTAGTACTGCTAGGACCTGCTCGCACTGGTTACGTTGGCAGTTTCAGCATCTTTCTAGAAGGGGGTGTATTGAAGCACAATTAGCTTGTCATATGCCAACATAGTTTCCCTGGCCATCTGTAGACCAAACCAAGAGAAGTGTGTGGAGGGAGAGGGATAGTATTGTATTTGAGGATGTTTGTGCAGCACAGCTGTAACTCAGACCATAGCTGCCTCTGGTGCCAAGCAAAGTGCTCTTCATTCTAATAGAACTAAGTGTTTGGGTTGGGTAGATGGGTGTGGGGATATGAACTCTTAGGATTTGCTGTTGTCGTAGGCTTCCACAAATCAGTGTGTTTCACAGACAGTTTTCCTTCAGGTTTAAAAGTACGAGTCTGATGTCTGAAGTTACTTGGATTAACCTTTGTTTCTGTCTCTTTTGCTTTGGGCTGCCATCATTCTATGAATGTATCCCTGAAAACAATTCTTAAAGCTCCTATTCTACAGCAAACCTGCCTCATTGTAACTCCTGTTAAAATGTTTTGTAGGAGGTAGAAGAGAGAGTGACCACAAATCTAAGACTCCTTTTCGCAGGCTATTAATCCTGGAAAAGTTGAATCTTGAATACAAGGTTTAATCTGAATCTCATAGAAATCTGTATTCCCTGTACATGGATAAAGGCAGGTGAAGGTCAGTAGTTCTGGGTGACAAACAGTTGTATTTTATTGGTATATCAGCCATGTTGAGTGTGGGAGGAGAATGCTGTATCTTAGTGCTGTTACCCAGAGGTACTGAAATTGGGTGAAGTATGGGTTTACTGCAGAGAACTCCAGTTAGTTTGGTCTTTGCTGCAGCAGGACCTCCTTTGAGCTTGAAAATAACAGCTTATGAACAACTGAATTTTCTAAAAGTTGGGAGAAAAAAAAGATATTAGCACTTCCTCTTCTGGATGAAGATAGAGCAAGAAAAATGTATGTAACTAACGGCTTTAGAGTGTAAATTGTGTATATACGAGTTATTCCTGAATCTCTGCAACTGCTTTTGTCATACATTGGTTAAAGGATGCAGATGATATCCACAAAAAGACTCCTACTGGGGGAAACCATGGTACAGGGGAAAAAGAATCATCCAGGAGAGATATCCCTCATTTTTGGGAGGGGAAGGGAGAGAATTTATTTTGTGTATACAGAAGCCGGTTGAATTTACATGATGCAGCTAATAGTTAAACCTGCTAACTAAATAAGACATACTGTTACCATTGAAATAAACTTACGTTGTATTTCGTTAAGTCTTGATGGTGCCCTGTGTCTAATAAACATCTGATCCCCCAAATTGTTTTCTTCTCCCCCATGTTGTAATCCAGGGTCAGCTGCTATGCACAAAGTCTGTGTTTTGTAAAGTGTTTGCTGACTTGGATGTTTCTTTTGAATCTTGCTTCCTGATTCATTTGGCTAAGACCACCCCTGGTCTCTTGAGTTAACATTCACTCAAATGTATACTGTATGCAGTTTACGGATGCATTCTCAATGTTAAAAGTTAAGTTGCAGGGGGAGCAAATTCTTTCCAATAAGGTGGGCCATTTTTAATCTGTATCATTGCCCTTGTGCATCAGGAGCATGTTTTTGTTTTTTCTCAAACTCTTTAGAAATACTGTTCAGAATAAACGTGCACTATTTGAGTTATGTCATTGACAATTTGTCATGTGCACTTTCTTTGCAGTCCAGCTGTTTCCTTCTGAAACCAGATACAGAATATTCCTCAGATGTTTCCTGAACTGTGTAACTTGGAAGATTTCTACCATCAACTGTGAGTTGGGCTGCTGTGATGTCATGGGTGTCTGACAGCTGAGGAGAGTGGGGTCTGTTTGTTTCCCTGAAGCTATGAGTCTTTCCTCAGAAATTCCCTGTCGTGGGATGAGGGGGAGGAGAGGAAGAGGAATTCTCACAGAATATTTTTGCATTGAGTAGTGAGCAGTCTTGAGACAAACAGTCCAGGCATCAAGAACACTGCAGCTGGGTTTGGGCTTTATAGGTTAAGTATTTGAAAGTGTTCCAACTAATTGCCAGCTATTGCAAATCTCAACAACGATCTTTGAAAAACTATGGTCTGTACCTGTAAAAATAACTGGTCTTAAGATGCAGCAAGTACTCTTCCACACTGATTTTTCTCAGGTATTGAAGTAAAACTTATCTCTCTTCTTAACTATTCTGGTCTCTTCTGTTAAAGCCATTTTTTGTCTGTAGCTTCTTTCTGCTCCTCTTCTACTTTGACATGCCACTTATGAACTGATTGAAGTTGCAGTGTGGTACAGTTTCTGGGGAAAAAAGAAATGTTACCCTTAATACTCTATCCACTATTTACATTCCTCTGGAAACTCCTTTATCAGTAGACAGAGTTGCTTGCATTCATTAGGACAGAATGCAAAACCAAAGCTGGGGCTGCAAAACTTGACTGTGGTCTTGAGCTGCTGCTCCCAGCTGTCTTCCCTGACCTCTGCTGGAGGGCCTGAAGACACCCCTGGAGAGGAACCTTCGTCGCTCTGGCCTCACCAGCAGCTGCACAGGCTGGAAGGCTTCTGCTGTACTTAAACTGCTGCAGTGGTTCTCCAAACTATTCCACTTTTATTGATCTCTGTCATGTTTCTTTCCCTCTCCACCCTCATGCCAGTCACCTCTCTAACAGCCTGTACAATGTTAGGCAGGTTTCTCCGGTAGAGGGAAACCAGCAGATACCCCTGATCATTTGTGTTGCCCTTTCCCAAAGCTGTGCTCGTTCTACAGGCAGTTCCATTGCCCTTACTGTATTGGGTATGTACTGTGTCCTTGTAATGGCTTACAGTGCACTATTATCTCTCAGTTACACCACTTCGCTGCTTTTTTTGTTGTTACTGAGATGATTTAAAGAACAGTACCAATGCTGGGATCTAGTGATAAGTGGTAAGTCAAGTCATTCACTTCACATGAAAAATTGGATTGTTAGTTTTCCACCAGTGTGTACG